GATTTCATGTAATGTTCACGTAGTGTGAATGTAGTGTTCATGTAGTGTTCATGCAGTGTTCATGTAGTGTTCATGCAGTGTCCATGTGGTGTTCATGTAGTGTTCATGCAGTGTTCATGAAGTGTCCATGTAGTGTTCATGTAGTGTTCATGCAGTGTTCATGTAGTGTTCATGCAGTGTTCTTGTAGTGTTCATGTAGTGTTCATGCAGTGTTCTTGCAGTGTTCATGTAGTGTTCATGCAGTGTTCATGTAGTGTTCATGCAGTGTTCTTGCAGTGTTCACGCAGTGTTCATGTAGTGTTCTTGCAGTGTTCATGGAGTGTTCATACAGTGTTCGTGCAGTGTTCATGTAGTGTTCATGTATCGTTTATGTAGTGTTCATGCAGTGTTCATGTAGTGTTCATGTAGTGTGCATGCAGTGTTCATGTAGTGCCCATGTAGTGTTCATGTAGTGTTCATGCAGTGTTGTTGCAGTGTTGATGTAGTGTTGATGTGGTGTTGATGAAGTGTTCATGTAGTGTCCATGGAGTGTCCACGTAGTGTTCATGTGGTGTTCATGTAGTGTTCATGCAGTGTTCATGTAGTGTTCATGCAGTGTCCATGTAGTGTTCATGCAGTGTTCTTGCAGTGTTCATGTAGTGTTCATGCAGTGTTCATGTAGTGCCCATGTAGTGTTCATGTAGTGTTCATGCACTTTTGTTGCAGTGTTCATGTAGTGTTGATGTGTTGTTGATGTAGTGTTCATGTAGTGTCCATGTAGTGTCCACGTAGTGTTCATGTGGTGTTCATGTAGTGTTCATGCAGTGTTCATGTAGTGTTCATGCAGTGTTCATGTAGTGTTCATGCAGTGTTCTTGCAGTGTTCATGTAGTTTTCATGTAGTGCGCATGTAGTGTTCATTTAGTGTTCATGTAGTGTTCATGGAGTGTTTATGTAGTGTTCATGTGGCGTTCATGTAGTGTTCATGTAGTGTTCTTGCAGTGTTCATGTAGTGTTCATATAGTGTTCATGTAGTGTTCATGTGATGTCCATGTGGTGTTCCTGAAGTATTCACGTATGTCCTTGTGGTGTCTATGTGATGTCGAAGTGATGTTTATGTGGTGTCCATGTGTTGTCTATCTTGTGTTCATTTGGTGTCCATGCAGTGACCATGTTGTGTTCATGTGGTGTTCATATAGTGTCCATATATTGTCCATATACTGTCCGTGCGGTGTCCATGTACATTTTGTGTACATGTGGTGTCCATGAGCTGTTCATGTAGTGTCCATGTAATGTTCATGTATTGTTCATGTGGTTTCCATGATGTTTATGTGGTGACCATGTAGTGTCCATTCAGTGTCCACGTGGTTTCCATGCAATGTCAATGTGGTGTTCATGTAATGTTTATCCAATGTCCGTGCAGTGTTCATGTAGAGTCGATGTAATATTAATGTGGTGTTCATGTAGTGTCAATGTGGTGTTCATGTAATGTTCATCCAATGCCTGTGCAGTGTTCATGTAGAGTCCATGTAATATTAATGTGGTGTTCATGTAATGTTCATCCAATGTCCGTGCAGTGTTCATGTAGATCCATGTACTATCAATGTGGTGTTCATGTGGTGTCCACATTGACATCCACAATGTTGAGATTTAGCAACCAGCCGACATTCTCCATCTTTGGCCTACCCGTCTACGTTCCAGCATCTGGCCATGGTAATTACATCAGCATCTCATACCTGTTGACTACACTGAGAATATATGGGTATAATGTACGTACCTGAGAGCCATCGAACTACAGGCTTCAGTTAATCATTAGAGGCCATGGTTAGTTATCACACAACGGGTTTGGAATCCGAGAACCAAGCCGAGAACCTATCGGTCGGACGAAATCTAGTTCGTGCTCCATGTGACTGACTGACTGACTGACTTAGTGAGTTTGGTTTTACGCCGCTTTTAGCAATATTCCAGCAACATCACGGCGGGGACACCAGAAATGGGCTTCACACATTGTACCCATGTGGGGATTCGAACTCGGGTCTTCGGCGTGACGAGCCAACGCTTTAACCATTAGGCTACCCCATTGCCCCTGTTCCATGTGAACGGCGGATTGAGGGTTCGGTGGCACAGACACACGACCTACACACAGATGATCACAATACTCACTGCCATTTATGGGGAAGGTTCGGTAATGATGAGTGAGTGAGTATAGTTTGACGCCGCTTCCAGCGATATCATGATGGATGCAGAAACGAGCTTCCCACATTGCATCCATGAAGAGAATCGATCCCGGGTCTTCGTCGTGACGAGCGATCTTTTTAACCACTAGGCTACCCATTATTTGTCATCAAACAAGGCAACTTTACTGAAAACTGGTACACCCGGGATGACCAAGTTACCCCATTTAGACACTCTCCCTCTTTGCCACGAGAACTCAGTTCATAATGATGAATGGATCCAGGGCATTGACAGCCTACTTTCAGATAACACTCTACCTCGGCCCTGTTTCGGATACCTGAATCCGCTGATGTACACGTGGGACAGTCTTGGACAATACGACAAGGGAACTGCAGCTCTCTGCCCAGAACACGTGTGGACTGGAATCAGCCTTGATGTGGTTGCAGTTGCCCTTCCGGCACATGTTTGGGTAAGGGGATTAGTGGCAGGCTGGAGGCCATCATACATAGGTGAGGTGAGGTGAAATGGGGTTTAACGTCGTGCTGGAGAATATTTCGCTCATATGTCGACGGGCATGCGTGTGTATGTGTATGCGCGGCTGCTTGTTCTAGCCCAGACTGAAGTTGGTTTTATAGTGCTAGCCCAATGAGATACCATGCAGCACTGAAGCATGAATATCCCACTCAGACACATTATACTGTGGTTCTTTGAACCACTTGCTTCCATCTTTTCCAGTGAAGTGCGCCCTTTCGTCCAGTTGCACAGGTACTAGTACTTCATTGTTCTCCTCACTAACATCATCCAATTCATCTGAGGAACTGGTTTCAGATCTGGAGCCCGCAACATATTCACTGTCCGACAATCTGTCAGAACACTCTGACATACATCCACCATCATCATCTTCTTTTAATTTTTTTTCAAAAACTGGCTAAATACAACGTCCTTTATGCCCGGGCGACTCATGGCTAATATCTGATTGCTTACCACTCAGTGGCCAGATCAATAATATGTATGGCAAAACCTAGAAAAAAGAGGGGTGACTGGGCCTCTGAAGCCCATGTTCAGTGATAATGGTGACATTTCCAACAGTGTTCATTAACTTGTTTTGTATAGCTGTTGAAATGAAAATAAAAAGTGTACAGGTAGCTGAGATGTTGTTCGAGGAATACCTAGAATTTCACAAAAAAATGTGTAACTGGGAAAGAGCTGGATGTTTTGAAAGCATCTCCCTAGTTAGTGGGATGAGGATTAGCATTGTCATTCCAACATCATGCGTTCTCGACAAGTACCTGTCTATTCTGGAATCTTGTTTTGGTCGTGTGTCTGGATACATGGAGTGGACAGTACACCTGCAGTAATTACAGGTAGATATTGCAGGTCACGTGATGTACTTGTTTCGACTGTAAATTGTATTTGAATTTGATCAAGGGATTCCGATCGTATGTCAGCATGGTTGCATTGCTACTTGGCTTCATGACTGGCCATTGACGTCTGTCTTAGTAGTAACAGTTATAATTCATTGATGGCAGCGATAGTGAGACCACAGCAACGACGTGTTCTTAAAGCAATATGCGATTGCAAGCGCATGTGTTAGCGTGTGTGTGCGTCTGTCTGTATGTATGTGCGTGTGTGTGTTATTAAAAGCAAAATGTCTGTGAAATGATCGTGGTGTCCAGTTTTGAAAAAAATATGCATACGCATTCTTTGAGTTGATACTATAATAATACTCATACGTTTCTACCATGCTATGGCAGTTGATTGCCTAACCGTTTATTCCCCAGAAATCAAAATAAATGAGGCAACTATTCGGATTTAAGTAATGATAGGCTCGACTATAACGATGGTTCTGGGAACGAGAGGCCACGGATGACGCAGTCGCTGAAAGCGCCGCAATTAGCGTTCCTTGGTCACAACAGAAACCGTTCATTGTTGCTTGCATTTGGAGTTCAGATGTGTTGCAAAGTTTGTCAATACCATACCAGGGCTCGTGTCAAAGACTTAGCGGTAAACGCCTCCAAGGGACGCAACTCTGGCTTGCTCTGGGAGTAGAGGCCGAGGTCATGCAAGTCACACCACTTTGGTTCGAACACACAGTCATAGATTTCTGTCATGACCAAGGGACGCAACTCTGGCTTGCTCTGGGAGTAGAGGCCAAGGTAATGCACGTCTTACCACTTCGGTTCGAACCCACAGTCATAGGATTCTGTCGTGACCAAGGGACGCAACTCTGGCTTGCTCTGGGAGTAGAGGCCGAGGTAATGCAAGTCTTACCACTTTGGTGCGAACCCACATTCATAGGATTCTGTCGTGACCAAGGGACGCAACTCTGGCTTGCTCTGGGAGTAGAGGCCAAGGTAATGCAAGTCTTACCACTTTGGTGCGAACCCACAGTCATAGGTTTCTGTCGTGACCAAGGGATGCAACTCTGGCTTGCTCTGAGAGTAGAGAACGAGGTAATGCACGTCTTACCACTTTGGTTCGAACCCACAGTCATAGGATTCTGTTGTGACCAAGTGATGAAACATCGTCACAACGAATTGCTTCGCCTCAGACCACACGGCCACCAGTGGAAAATGGTTCAGTGGAGTAATGTGCCGCTTGCACCATATACAAATTAGTATGCAATAGCTGCAATTGATACTGACGGACCACACGTTGATTTCTACTGTATACACCCAGGAGGTTACAAACTCATTGTCTGGTTCGATGGTTAACAACAAACACATATATCCTCAACTATATAGTATGAACGTCTTTCCCCAGGAGGGTTTAATGGCGTTACGTATATTCATAATGTGATGGTATGATTCAGAATGTGATATTATATGATTTGCATTTCTTTCTCAGTGATATCACAAGGCAACCAGAATACAACAGTCCAGGCGGGAAGTGATGTTGTATTAGAGTGTACAGGTGCGGGTTCAGCTAGAGGCACCTGATACAAAACTGACAAGCAGCGGGGCTATATTGCGTATGTGGTGCTCAACGACGGGTTATGCAACATACACCAAGAACCAAAATCGCTGCCTGGCCTATCATTGGGAAATGAAGACTGCGCTAAACATGCTCTGAAAATATCCAACATCAGCAAGGAGCACGAGGGAATATGGAAATGTTATATCAGTAACTCCACCAAGACGCACCATCTCCATGTTATGGCATCGCCTGCAGGTATTATCTGACAGTCTGACATTATAAGTGTCCTAGCTTTGATGTACAAATGGAGCACCTAAGGTTGCACTTAGGATATCCTCACCATCGCAAAGTGAATGGAGAACGTTGTTGACTTTGTATACACAAAAGACAAAATCCACGACTTTAGACGACATTGAGTAGAGTAAAAATGTTACGGTTTCATTTCATTCAGTTGCATCCCCAACCTGTTATTTATAGGATACGATATTTATATAGCGCACATATCCACGCAACTAGTGCATGCTCAAGGAGCTGGTATTTTTTCCCTCGATCATTGGATGTCAATCTCAACGGCACATTGTATTATCACTCTCAGCTTCCTGGGGAATATACAACTCTTGCTGCCACTAGGCGCACCGAGTTATTGTGGCTTTCTCATCCTAATGAGGTACCCATTTACAGGTGGGTGGACTGCATTTATCTAAGCATTATGCCAAAATAACCAACAAGATGTCTTCTTGGGATATCATAAACATATCATAATTGTTATATTTGATATATTTGATTATTTTCTCCATCTGTAATCACTGCTCGTATTTTGTTAACGTCTGAGAAACAACAACTGTAAAAACAACGAGTCTCTCATCGTTGACAACACCAATATCAGAATCAACATCCCACGTCACTACTACGGCTGGTGTCCCTGGCTCTACTCCTGATTCAACTACTTAGTCGCCAGCCCCTGCCACGGATACAAGCAGTGCTGGGTATACGACTGAAAGCAGAACCCAGGACTCGGTAAATCCCCAAACACCATCTGTGACTTCCATGATAACCATCCTAGGTGGAACTGTTGGTGGCGCACTGGTCCTACTGGCTGCTATCATCACCGTCTGCTGTTTACTTCGATCAAAGAAAGAAAAACAAAACAATGGCTGTAAGTACTGTATTGTGTACCAGGGAGTGATGGAGCGAGTTTTCTTTAATGACGCTTCCAATAGGATTTCACAGGCTACGTGGTGTTCATATGACGTGCACGGGTTGTCTCCAACGCCACTTTTAGCAGTGTTCAAGTTGTCTCACGTCGTGTCAGCTTCATGTGTGCGTGCGTGCGTGCGTGCGTGCGTGCATGTGCGTGTGTGTTCGTGTGGGTGTGTGTGTGAGAGGCCGAGGTCATGTCTGTCATGAACGTTTATCACTTTGGTGAAACTCACGAGTACAGGTACTGTCACACCTATACATTTTAGTGTGAACAACTAGGATTCGAACCCAAATTTCTAGGTTTCACGGTCCCGAGATCTAGTGACACAACCCTGCCACCAGTGCCACCTTTATGTAAGAGGCCGTGCAGGTAAATGATGGAGGTGTGTGTGTTTAGGTTCATGATGATAAAACTGAATATCTGTTATATCAGGGAATGTCAATGAGCTGTGGCTAAAGTGATTGATTTGGTTTGGTTTAATGCTAATTTAAAATGGATTTCAATTTTATCAGTGTATCAGATTATTGTGGATTAAGGCCTCAAGTTATGGATGTCTTAGACGTTTTGCACTACGTTGAAACCGAGGCTTCGAAGTTCCTCCGGCTCCTGGAATGCCAAGGGGCCGTAATTCTGTACTGCGAGTTAGGGTGGATGCAAAATATAGTTTATGTCATCGTTCACTTTGATTAACCTATTCTCAAATTTCAGCATCGCTATACACTTCCCCTGCTACTAACACTATCCGTTTCCCCATTTATTCAACAGTGTATAAATAGCTTATAAAAGAGAAACCTGTAAAGATAGTAATTCAGTACTGATGATCTCTGTCTAGTGTTGTTCTGTTTATATTTCCTCAGCAGCTCGGGGGCTTGTCAATGGGGATCATAGGTATGTATACAGATATCTCTTAATTATCAGATTATGGAAAGAACGAGGAATTAAAGTGACACTTTACAGTTATGGCATGAAATTGTTGCTGTTTTACACAGGTGACAATACGAGTATCAGTACAGTACAACGGAGGTGGGGAAATAGGGATTGATAAATATGGAAGGATTTGCATGTTATGTAAAAGTGGTATAGATAAAGAAATCCACTTTGTCTTTACATGACTTACTCTTAATAAGCTGCAAGTAACACCCGAGTGTGTTATTTGCTCTGTATTTTGTTTACTCCGTATGTGGCTCAGAAGAGCTTCTCCTTCTTCAGCAATCAACAATCGTACGAAATAACGTATTGAACAATATTTTGCATATCCAAATTGGTGTTATACTGCATGTAACATTCGATTGTGTAATTTACTCTTATTATTGTTTATTCTATATGTGTGCCGCTGGCCTCAAATACAATAAAACTTCTTCTCCTTCTCCTTCTTCATCTTATTCTTCTTCTTCTTCTTCTACAGACAGTCAAAGTATATTATCCTCAGCCAATAGATAATAATGACTTCAAATGCGGATGAGCTAGCGTTTCTTTGTACAGCATTCAATAATATTACTGCGTGTAATCTTGACGAGGTTGGAAAGCCGAGTTGATGTAGGCATTTGATGTTTACACCTTGTGTGAAACCCAAGATCGGGTGCAAACTGAATACCTACCTTCACACACAGGATTGGAACCCTTGATCAGACATTTCTGACAAAATGAAGTGTGGCACCTTATACGACCTGACCTACCCATCTGTTCAGTGTGCTAATAAAGGACATACACTCGAAATTTAAACAATGGTTCAGAAGGATCTCTACCCAAAAGGAAATTAATACTTTCATGAGCTATGCGTGGTTTTCACTGTTCAGTTTTAACTGAAGTGGTCCGATTATGTGCGTGGCGAAACCCTGCATTAAAGTAATCATACATTTCTAACTTATCAGACATCAAGATCTTGAACAAAGAGAAGATGCTGGTGAGTACATACTACTATTAAACCTTTTGATGGATTTAAGAATACTAGCATTAGGAAGAGAGTTTTTATGGATGTCAGCTTCTTTATTGTGGGGTGAATGAATAGCATGAAGCAGAGAGCATATAGTACATGTACAACAAAAGTAATAAGACAACAAACATGATGGCTAAACAATGGATGGCCTATAAATTATAATTTAATCCCGGCTACCAGCTGTACACTGTTCATCACCAATCAACACTAATTAATAAGTGTTGGTTTCCGTTTATCCTTTGCCAATCACACATCAACACCAGTTAAGTTTTGGTTTCCATTGTGTAGCCATTTATATGTGTATCACTTCTAAATGCCATTCAAAAACCTAATACTAGTATGTATTTGATTATATGTAAAAATAGTCAATAAAACATTTCCTATATACTTTGGTTTGTTTTTCTCCTCTGTTGTCTAACGCCAGTTTGTTCAGGTACATTTTTTCCGTCCCCTTTGCAGTGATGTTTTTTTTGTGTGTGTTTTTTTTATTTAATTTTTTTTTATTTTCATGTAAAAATAAAGTCTTCCCTCAAAACATTCGTTACATAATGACACATACAAATACATGAATATAATCATCGGCCTCATATCAGACATAGCATGTTGTATATGGGTCACAGACAACATATGTTGTATATTGCGAAACTTCCAAAATAAGTTGTATATAATGTCATTTCTGATATATCATAAGTATATAGTATTACATCCCATATGTCATGTTGTAAATAGCATCATATATGAACATATCATATTGTTTATAGCACCACAACTGACATATCAAGCTGTATATTGTGTCACATCCAACATATCATGTTGTATATTGCATACACATTCAACATATTTTGTTGTATATAGCGCCACATCTGACATACCATGTTGTATATAGCGCCACATCTGAAATATCATACATAGTGTCACGGCCAATCTATCGTGTTGTACATAGTGTATTATCTGATATACATTGTAAATATGTCTTATCTAATATATGTTGTATATAATGCCACAATTATTCTGACATGTCATGCTGTGTCTTGTGTCACATCCAATGTGTTGTGTTATATATTGCGCAACATCCAGCTTATTGTGTTGTATATTGTGTCTTATATCCAACCTATAGTATGTGTTCCCAAAGTTACACCAGTGCCATTAACTAACTAGTCAATATATAACTAAAACAAAGATAATTTTTCAAAAGGGGAAACAGATCAAGATTTTACAAAAGAAGCGGTTGCTGCATACACAGGTCAGGTTTAAGTACTGGGAATACGGGATGCCATTTATTAGCAAATTTCTTCATTTTAGTCTTCCTTTTGGCATTGAAGCTTTCAACAGAAAAAAATATTTTTTAAAGTCTTTATAAAGTTATCGCATTTTGGAACGTTGTTTTTCAAAGAAAAGACATAGATCTGTCTTTTTGCTGAAATGATTATATGATTAAGTAATGGGTTTTTACTTAAGGAGCCAAAATACACCAAATATTTTGTCAAATTGACTTTTTGTATCAAATAAGTGTTAATCCAAATTTGAAGATCCTTCCAAAACTTCTTAGTTTCACTACATTCCCAGTAAACATGGCACAAGTTTTCATCTTCATCTTTACAAAAGCTGCATGAGGCGCTCTGGATGAGGTTCATTTTTAAAAGTTCCTTTTTTGGTATAGATAATACCGTGTAAACATTTATATTGGAACTCAAAGAGTTTTACATCATTAATGTCTTGTCTGTAAGACTTGACAATCATTGGCCAATCAAAGTCAGTATCTTCAAACACATTCTCCCATTTATGACACATATGAGGGTTATTATTGTTAAATAACAATATATCATACAATAATCTTGATCCTTGTAATGATTTCATCAAATTCTTTTGATAGGAGTTAAGATTCATGTCATAGTTATTTATACACCTGTGATTTGTTATTGTATTTTTCCATGATTCAGGTTTATTATTTAGAACATATCTATGATCTAATTCTGTCCCTTTTATTGCATATTTACTTTTTAAAGATTCAAAAGACATCAAACCTTCTTCATCACACATGTCTTTGATGGTTAATAGTCCTTTATTTTTCCCCAATGACTGATATAATGATTTTGGTATTTAATATTATGATAAAACCATAATGGCTGAGCTAAAATTTCATCAATGTTGTTTTCCTCTATGGTAATGTTAGTACAATACATGTTCCATGCTTTTAAAACATCTTTCAGATATGGATTATGAATATCAGCAATATTATAGAAATTAGAACCAAATTTCATGATATCATGTAACGGAAAATTGCATGGATTACATATTGATCATTTTCTTAAATAAAGTCTCAAAGTGGATAGTTTTAAGGCATTGATGAAGGTTTTTATGTCGATCATTCTTAAACCCCCATGTATATAATCTTTTTTCAAGGTATTTCTCTTAATTTTGTCAGTTTTGTCAGTCCAGATGAATTTGAAAATTATTTTATCAAGGGAGGTAACAAAATCTTGGGGTGGGTTTGGTAAAGTATTGAAAATATGAAACAATTTTATCATAGCTAGTGTCTTGATAACAGTGATTTTGCCGATTAATGTTAAATGTATTTTTCTCCACACTGCCAATAATCTGTTAATTTCCTCTAGTTTTTTCTTTGTATTGATGATCCATAGATCCTTCAGTTCAGCATTAAGTATAATTCCCAGAACATCAAATTCATTTTTTCGCCATTCAATATTCAAATCCTGACATAGTTTCTCACCACAACCTGCTTTAGATCCAATCCAGATAGCTTTAGTCTTATCAATATTTATTTTCAGTCCTGACATCTTATAGAAAGTATTAATTGCATCAACAGCAGGATATACACAATTTTATGTACCATCTAAAAACAACTCAGTATCATCTGCATATTGTCCTAATTTATACTCTGTACCATCAATTACTATACCTTTGATATTTTCATTTTGTCTTATCATGCATCCAAGGATTACAGCTACAAAAAGGAAAAGATATTGCGATAACGGATCCCCTTGTCTACAGCCCCGTTCATTTGAAAAGAATTCTGAAAGATGTCCATTTTGAATAACACAAGAAGTTGTATTATAGGTTAGGAAATTTATCCACCTAATAATTTTGGGACCAAAACCAAACTTTTTTAATACCAAATTTATAAAATCTTTAGAAACAGTATCAAAAGCCTTTTCAAAATCGATCAAACTTAATAAACCTGGGATGTCTCTTCTTTTTGTCTCAAACATAATGTCATAGAGTAATCTTGTGTTTTCGCTTATATTTCTACCAGGTATAAAACCAGTCTGATTTTCATGTATAAGAGAGTACAGGGTTGTTTTTAAACGATTAGTACTTACTATTTTATACAAAGTTATTGGTCTCCAGTTATTTTAAAATAGTTCTGTTTTTATCTGGCTTGGGTATACATGTAATAACATCTCTTTTCATTGTGAAAGACATTTGATTCTTATTAAAAATTTCTTTGATAAATCTATTGATCCAATATTTAAGGACTTTCCAAAAATATTTAAAGAAATCTTTTGGAAATCCATCTACGCCAGGGCTTTTGTTACTTTTCATATGTTTAACAGCCAATGTTATTTCTTCCATATCAATATCTTTTTCTAATTTGTTTCCAAGCCTAACTGTTGTTCATAAGTGTAGCTTTAACTCAATATTTTTACAACACATGCTACATTTGGGATTAATCATTCTCAATAAAGTACATATTCTAGTACTTTTGTTGGGTTGAGTCCCATCCAGGATTCGAAATCACATCCTCAGAGTCAGGCACCTAATCGCCAGCACACGAAGTCAGCCGCCTAACCCACTCAGCCACCGCGGATTTCCACAAAAATGGAAGTTTGACACGGACTTTGTGTACCCCGTTGATAAGTGCTGGCGATTAAGTGCCTGACTGTGAGGTTGTGGGTTCGTCTTCGACTGAACCCAACAAAAATCCCTGGAATTTGTATTTGTATTCATCTGGAATGAATGCCGTCATATACTA